TGAGGAACATGGCGTATTAAATCATATGCTGGGAGCATTTTACTTTGGGACTAGAAGTAGTGATTGGGTGTTAGGGCTTCTGGGTCTGGTGCTGAATCTGAGGTGTTTTCCTCCATAATATGTATATTCCAGTTTGCCCTCATTTGTCCTGCTGGGATAACAATACTTATTCACATTGCAGGACTGTGTGCAGCTTAAAAGAATTCAATGTTAAATTTCTGGAAAGTGCTTGTAGATGTTAACAAAAATCCCTCCAATATAACTGCACTATATATGGGTATGTCTACAGTAGTGTAGACATACCCTATCATAGTAGACATGGAAAAACTGCTAAGTACTGAACTTGGATTTAATATTTGCCACCTATACACGATGATTCCAAAAAGCTAATGCAAAGCTACGTCCTGTGTCCTAAATGGTGCTAACTTGGTTAATAGTAAATGCCTTTTTCTGGAAACATTTTTGACGCTTCGGAACACAACACAACTAATAGTTTGTTGTGAGTACTCCCTAGTTCCACAAACATTTCTGCAATATATCTAGATAAACATTCAACAAACCCAAAATGTGGGGAACACTTTCAAACCTGTACTGCTTTCTCTCTTAGGAGAGTCTAAACTGCCCCCTTTTATCTTGAGTCTTCCAGGGGTATTACATTAGGGCAGTGGTCTCCAACATTTTTACACCCAAGATCACTTTTTAAATGTCAGGGCAAGCAGGGTCTACCCCATCTCTTCCCCGAGACCCCATCCCTTTCATGAGGCCCCGCCCTCTCCAAATCTTTTCGCTGACTACCTGTTGCTAATGGAAACTCACCATTAATTACATAATTACACCAGAGTAATTCTGTTAGTGCTGCAGCTGGGGAGAACAGTTTAATTGAAATTATTAAACAGATTAAGTGTAAAAAATGAGGGATTCAATGTGCAGGACAGAGCTGCCAGGAAGTGGAATAGGGATGGGGTGCAGGATCTGGGAGAGAGATAGGTGCAGAAGGGGGAGAGGTTGTGATGTCTGGGTGGGATACAGGATGCAGAAGCAGGCTGGGAGTAGGGTGTCTGACCAGGGGGAGGAAGCAGGAGCAAGGGAGGGTGCAGGAGCAATGGTGGATGCAGGAGCAGGGTGGAAGTAGGTATCTGGCCAGGCCAGAGTGGAAGGTGCAGGACCAGGATGGGGGTAAGGTGTCTGGCCAGGAGGGAGGGTGCACAGAGCCCTGAGTCTCTGACTAGGCGGGGCTGATTAATCACCTGTGAAGCTGTGCTGTCCCGCAGCTTAGAGGGAACACTTGTGTCGGAGCAAGCTGGGGTGCAGGGTCTTGGTGGGAGGAGGGGAGTAAGTGAGGGGGACTGGGGTGTGAGGTTCTGGACATGAGTTCCTTTCAGCAACTGCTGCAGCCACATGGTCCCTGGCCGACCCCTGAGGCTGGAGGCACCACTACCATGGCCATGCAATCCCAGACTGGCCCCAGAGGCTTCACAGTGCTGCTCCTCCCACCACAGCCTAATCTGCTGCCAGGGAAGAGGAAGGGCTCCAGCGGTTGCGCGGGGGAGAAGGGGTGGGACTGAGCTCCTGCCACGCGTGCCACTGGAAATCGGCTCGAGTGCCACTTATGGTATGCGTGCCATAAGCTGCTAACCCCTGGGCTAGTGTATTGGACACCATGGATCTAGGCATTATGGAATAGCGTCCAGAAGCTAAAAACTGTGTAAACAGGAGGAATATGTCTTCAAGTCACCACAACAATATCACCAGTAAGACAGGCCTCTCATAGAGGTGGTTTTCTGTTTGTGGTGGAACTCAGAAGTTTCACTGCAAAAAGTCATTGGCAAGTGTAGATGCTCACATGGTTTTTGCACAAAAATGCTTTAAAGGGCACATGGAGACACATGCATAGTTGGTTTGTTTTGGGGCCCAAAGAAGGTGTAAAATTCCTTCCTTGAAAGCCTTCAGCTAGTTGACCACCTATGTGAGACTGTGTCTGAAGGTTAAAAGAAAAATGAGAGAGATGGGTGGGGTCTGTACTAAATATGGCAAATACTATCTTGGCATTTAATCTGTCTTTAGGGGAGAAATCAGTGTTGAGTGCCAGGTACTAATTTGAGAGTCCAAGAGAGTGACATGCTCCTTGTATTCCCTCAGGCACAGCATGGGCAGCAGCAGTGAATGTGTCCCTTCACCATCCTGCCAGCTGCCAACATGTCTCCACGCACCAGTGGTTAATCTTACTCCCTAGCTAGGTGAACTGGTCTGGCTGCCCCTCTTGATTTGGCTGAACAATGTGGTCTGTGTAGCTCACAGCATGTAATGACACATAGCAGCAATAATCATATAACTGTGTCTCCAGACTCTGTTTCCTGGGCAAGGATTTTTCACTCTGTCTCTCATGCACACAGCGTGCTACAGTAATACCTACCTGTTGGTACAATATGTATCCCTCAGAGAAAGCAGAGAGAGACACTCTCTATCCAATATGTGTCTTGTATTGCTTGAGTTTTTTAAAACCCCGTCTGGGACACAAGTCATGTGTTATTTCAGTTCTCTTTTATTCCTCCTTGTTTACGTTTCAGAAAGTTCTAGCAAAGATCGTGGACACAGATTAATCCCCCATGCTTTTAAAGCTTCCTCAGGTTAGCATTTGCCCCTGTTAGGATTACTCCCCCACTAGGTCCCAATATTCTGACACTTCCTCAGCGCAAAAGGATGTTGCAATGAGACAAGATGATCCATCGTCCCTGCATTGGCCCAACTTTCCTGATACAATGTTAGGGTATGTCTACATTACAGCGTTATTTCAAAATATCTAATTTCGAAATAGTTAATTCGACATAGCTTATTTCGAAGTAACACGTCTACACACAAAATTCATTTCAAAATAGCGACGAGGAGTCCTGTGGCACCTTATAGACTAACTGAAGTGTAGGAGCATAAGCTTTCGTGGGCAAAGACCCACTTCGTCAGATGCATTTCAAAATAGCGTTTTTCTGTTTCGAAATAGCACGTCCAAACTGAGTGGATGTTGAATTGCATTTAAGGCTGGTTAGAATCAGTTCCGGCAGGGCATCAGGTCAGAAGTTGCCTTATGGCCCTGGGAAGGGCTGAAGGTTCCCTATTTCAAAATAAGTGTCTACACAGCACTTATTTCAAAATAGCAATTTTGAAATTGGCACTATTCTTCATGGAATGAGGTTTACGAATTTCGAAATAAGCCCTCCACTATTTCGAATTAATTTCAAAATAACAAAATGGCTGTGTAGATGCTAGGAAAGTTATTTCAAAATAACTATTTCGAAATAACTTTGCTGTGTAAACATACCCTTACAGCGTTGGTATGCACTACTACCTGCTGCTGCAATGTCACGGTGTATGCACTGAGTCTGTATCTCAGCCTGGTGATGGAATGTCAGCATGTCCTGCAGTTTTGACACACCTTTCTACTGTTGCCCTCTTCTAGGATTTGCTGCTGTATGCTTGTCAGTGTGCAGAAGAGCACAGTGAGATCACCTGACTTTACATCAAAGCAGTGAGACCAGAACTGAACACGTTATTTCTCTCTGACTACGTCTGAATGTTCCCAAGGGTCTAGATATTTTGCGGGGAAACAGCTTTTAATATCCTTGACCCTTTGAATACATTTTGATTTCTTTTTTCACAGAATGATTCAACAATAAAATCTTAGCTCGTGAGGCTATAAAACTGAGTTGAGTATAGAGCTAAAAGGAGCTAGTGAGCTTGCTGTGGGTGAAACCACTTGGCGACTTGGCACCAGTCCCAGTGAATGGCATGGCACTGAGGAATAATCTGAGTTGAGTCAGACAAGGGGAATGAGAGCAGCAACTCCTTCTCAACCCTTGAGACTGATCCAGCAGACAAATATGATTAGCATTAGTGTCAAAAGCCATGGTTGACTCTCTGTGTAAGGTACAAGTGTGGGCAGATCTTTCCATAGTGCAGGATACCACACACATAGCAGCTGGTAAATAAAAAAATTAAGTCAATATGTCTGACAGCTGTATGCCTGATGGTGTCAACTCTGGATTTAAGTGCACTATACTGACCCAAGCCACTATTTCTCTCTGGGGTCTATTGGGAGTCAGATTCCTGAGAGAAGCAGGCAGTCCACAAGACAGTTGGAAAATACTTACACTGCACTTTGTGGGGGAAATACGATGGTATGATGTGTGCACTTCCTGTGCTCTACATGCTGGCTTGGCAATGATTTCTCATATGATGCTTACTAGTGAAAATATTTTTGGCGTGGCACTGCACTTCAGTTTTGTCTGAAGGCAATCTACTCTAGGTCACTGGAAGGACACTAGTTTAGTCAAGAAATATGCTGTAGTCTTTAAAAACAATAAGTAGTCCTGTGGCACCTTAGAGACTAACAAAAATATATAGTATCATGAGTGGCAAAACCCACTTCTTCAGATGATGAGTTGGAGAGGAATAAGAGTTCATTGGCTTAGGAAAAGCTGTAAATAAACCACTTAGAACAGGAACGCAAACAATACTACAAGTAAAACATTCCAAAAATGGGCATGACTTCTGGTGATAAGTGAGTTTCTAAAAGCTCAGATGTGGAAACACTAATTGGTGTCATGTTTCCAAGCCTGAGCAGTAATGTCCTACATTGACTTCCTGGTAGGTTTAGCACAGATAAGCATTCAGAAGTGCAGATGTCTATTTCAAGCTCTGGGGTCTGCACATTTGATTGGAAATCTCATGGGAGCAGGCTCTCTCATGAGATTTCCACCCCTTCTGTTTCAATTCTTGGTCCACAGTATCACGTGAATAATCTTTCTTGTGCTATTTTGGCAATTCCAGTCCTGGACAGAATTCCGAAGTGGGGGAGAGGACAGAAACTGAGCATTTCAAGACCTCAACGAAAGGTTCAGCTCTAAAAACATAACATTTCAAGTGTGATGTACATGAGTATCTCTTTTCTTAACAGGTTCACCCCTCCTAATAACTGCTGATGCGTACATAATAAAATGTAAAGCTACCTGGTTGCTAGCAGAGGGTAAGTATGGAGAGGGCTGAACCAAGCTTCTTTCATTCGCGGCATGCTGTCATACATTAAAAGGTCCTTCTCGGTCAGTACAACCAGTGCTGGCTTCCAGTGCTTCTCATTCTCTCCTGGCACCTGGAAAAGATCAGTTTCAAAGAAAGAATGAGTGAGAACAAGAAGTGGGACAGACTAGCAGGCTGCAACTACAGAGTCTGCCACTGTGAGCATGTAGGATCTGGGCTGAAAAGATTTATGAAGAAACAAGTTTTACTACTACAGGTCTCTGGAATGATTCTGTCTCCTGAATAATATCCTAAATATATGACTAGAAGCAGCAAAAATGGATTAAAGCACAAACCAATCAATGAACATCTGCCACCGTCATTAATACTAAAACTTCCAAACCTGCTGTATCCTTTACTTGCTATGGGCTGTTACATATGAGAAATTGGCAGAGGAAAACTGAGACAGAGATGGGTCTGTTATTTATATATGATCTTTAAAAACCTATGAGGTCTGTTGTCCTTGAAGAAGCAACTAGAATCGAAGTAAAGCATCCTGTGAACAAGGTGACATGAGGTAGTGGGGGAGAGGGAAAATCTGATGATTTCTCTGTAATGTTAATGTCTATGATTAATTATTCTTGGCATGATCCTGCACTCAACTTGCCCCTGGACTGCAATCTTGGCTCTGTTGAAGTCAATGGCAAAAAATCCATTGAGTTCAACAGAGCTAGAATTTCACCTCTTAACTGTTGTCCTTATTATGTTACTTCTCAGGTTAGACTCCACAGAGAATTCTGTGCCCCTGGAATTGGTTATTTAGGGAGGCTGCATTGAAACAGATTAGACAAACAGCTGTTATGGATGGTCTAGGTTTACTTAATCCTTCCTCAGCACAGAGATCAGGACTAGATGACTTCTTAGAAGTCCCTTCCAGCCCTATACATCTTTGATTCTTCCAACAGCAATGTGAACAAACATGCTTTTGGTTTTACATTGAGAAAAAACCTCTCAAAACAGTGAATTTGATTTCATGATCTGTTCAAACTGGACAACCAGAGTGACTGTAACTAATGTTCCCTCTAATTTTTTTTCCATCCATGTGTGGAATGAATTTTGTTATGTGCACCAAGTACAGATGTTCACCACCAATAGAAACACGTGCTGCCAGATGTGGGCACTATAGGCGCTCTGCTAATCAGGTAGGCAGCAGTTGAATCTCTCCTGGGCAGCCACCCTGTGCTCAGTTTACAGGGAACACTGACCGTAACCCACCCAAAGGGGCAGGAAGCCCACCTCCTTAGCCCCTAAAAAGATGGCATTGTCCAACTTTCCATTTAATATGTTTCCACCTTTCTGCTACCAACAGCAAGGACAGTTATAGCATAGCTATCTGTTACCACCTACCGTATTTTCCGGCGTATAAGGCGACTGGGCGTATAAGACGACCCCCTAATTTTCTAGTTAAAAGATAGATTTTCGTCTTATACGCGCTGTATAAGACTACCCCCCCTTAAGAGGCCAACCGGCAGCGCCCCAGCGCCCCTCCGCCTCCCCAGCTTTGCTCCCGGTGTCCCTGGTCTGCTGGAGACGGTCCCCAGCAGACCAGGGGCATCCGGCGTATAAGGCGACTGGGCGTATAAGACGACCCCCTAATTTTCTAGTTAAAAGATAGATTTTCGTCTTATACGCGCTGTATAAGACTACCCCCCCTTAAGAGGCCAACCGGCAGCGCCCCAGCGCCCCTCCGCCTCCCCAGCTTTGCTCCCGGTGTCCCTGGTCTGCTGGAGACGGTCCCCAGCAGACCAGGGGCA